CCACCGCCACAGCCCCGACTGTGCGGCAGCGGCGGTTGCGGGGTGTGGGGTGTGAGGAAGGCACGCGCGGTTGCGCGTGCGCGCTTGCTGCCGCGACGGCGCGCTCCGCTCGCGACGCGCTCTGCATGCGGCTGCCGGGGGAATGCCTCGGCCCAGGCCGGGGCCGCTGCATGGGGTGCAGTACGCTAAGGGGCCGCTCACTTTTGACGTACTTTACGCGCCGCCGCGCTTCGCCGCGCGCGGCGATGCGCTGCTCTATGCGGTCAAACCCGTGAAGGAACTCGCGATCTTCCGCGTCCTCATCATCTGGGAGGCGCTCCATTACGTGATGAGCTGATCAGATGCCCCCAGGTCTGATCTGATCTGATGGGATCGGCGCGGATCGCCGGCCGCGCTGCGGCGTGGCACGCCGGAGGGCCGCGACTTGAGATGGGGCGCGGCCTGCTGCGCCGCGAAGACGTGCGTCGCGCGTCGGGTGCGGCCTGGTAAGCGTCGCCGCCGGCTCAGGTATGTGTTGCTATCAGTATGGTGGTCGCCCGAGTGTGCCGCGCTGCAGCGGGGCTTCCCTGCAGCAGAAGGTGGCGCCGTAGACCAGGGGGCGCGCTGCTTTTTGTGACACACCAGGGCGCCGCGGGTGTCGTGCCGCTGCGTCGCTGGCGGCCTCTACGTTCCACAAAACGGCAAGTTTTAGATCGGTGATGCGTTAAGTCTCAGACCAAGACAGATCCGTGAGATTGCAAAGGTTGATGCCCACGGTGTGGGGTGGCCTACATCTATGGGTAACAGCGACGCGTGATGTTTACTCCGTTATTGTTGTGCTTACTTATCGAGCAGTAGAAGGCACCACGTACGGGGGCAACGCACCCCACCACCACGTGATCGACTGCGTCGGCCCGCGCCTACCCCTCAGCTGCACAGGCAGCCACCTGATCCTAGCACATCCCTCAGCCGTACACGATCGAGCGCTCAAACCTGCCATCGTCCAGGGTCGGCAAGCTGCTCCAGCACAACTTTCAACATCACAGTACTCCACCCGGAGCCGCTGCACACGTGTTCCCAGTCAAACTTGTGCGGCACCCATGTTCACCCAGCCCCCCACCCCGATCGCGCACTGCCCCGCTGCATGACGCCGCCTGCGCGCCATTACGTGGCGCCCAAATGTTCATTTGTTTCGACCCCGCAGCTGCCGTGTCTCGCGGACTGGTGCAGACAGGGGTTACCGGCGATCAGTGATCAATAGACCTCTAGATCTCAAAACCGCTCTCTCTCTCGGCAGGCACCGGCGCTCGCCCGCGGGCGCTGTCGGCGAGGCGGGGCGCCTGCGCCCGCGCCGGCGTCCCCCGGCCGCCGCCGCCGCTGCGCGGCGCCGCGAGGCCGCGCCGCAACGCCGCGGGCCGCGGCTGCGCGGGAGAGGGCCTTTGGCGAGGGTGCTGCTGCTGTAAGGGGGGGGGAACGCCGCTCCTCCTCATCGTGTGCCCATGGGTGGCAGGCCGTGCGCGCTTACGAGGTGGCGTTGGCGCCCGCAACGATCTCAGAGATCTCCTGCGGAAGCGCAGCGTCAGAGCGCGGCGCAGAGCCGGGGGTTGATGAGCCGACATTCAATTATGAAGAGGCAATAAGCTCCAGCTTGCAGAGGGCAGGGCGGGCGGCAAGCGTGCGCCATCATGTTCCAATTTCAGTCTGATTCCCAGGACCCCGCTTTCCCCGCCCAAAGTGCGGGTGCGCGAAAACGCCAAATGGAATCATGCCCGCAGGGAGCCCGCCTGCCACCCCCACCTGCGTGATCTTGCTCTGCCTCTGCTTGTTGTACTTCACGGTGAGAACCTTCTTGAGCTCGCTGGCGTTGTCGGTGGCGTTGTTCATGGCGGTCATGCGCGCGGCCAGCTCGCTGGCCAGGGCCTCCTGCAGGCTGTGAGAGGAGAGGGGTGCAAAGAGAAGGGGGGCGGGGCACGTCAGCTGGGCACGCCGGCCAATGCGAGCGACTTCTCGGGGTCTTGGGCAGGGGCGGCGGCCCTCCATGCGCCGGCCTGTCGCCCACCCCCATGCATAGTCGCACGTGAGGCATAGGTCCACCACCACCTCCGCCCTCACTGCCACCCCCCACATGACGTCACGCACCAGGGTGTCAAAGCACCCCCCGCCCCTCAAC